GAGAGGGTGCCTGGGCAGCTTGGTTGGTTAAGCATCTGCTCTCAGCTTGTGATCTCAGGGTCCTTAGAGACCTGCATCTGGCTTCCTGCTCAGCAGGGAGTCTGCTTCTCCCTCTGCCCCTCCCCTTACTCGCGCTTACTCGTTCTCAAATAAGTAAATAAAATCCTTAAAACGCATGTGGGCGCGCACACACACTTGAATTTCCTTAACACAAAAATGCTTGTTTTTCCAACCAAGTCAAAAATGGGATTTTTAAGGAAATAAAATACTTGGCTGTTGAATATAAATATGGAAAATTTTGTTATACTTGCGAACGTAAGAAATTAAGAAAAGTGTTGGCATATCTTTCAGGAAGTTTGAGCTCTGAGATCAAGTAGAAAAAGTTAAGTGGTGTTTATGACCAAGTTTTTTAAGTGTGTGAGACCTGGACCCTCCCCTAGAAGCTTATCTTCACCCAGGTGTCGTAGTAAAAATTAAGGGGGAAAACAGTCACCAACAGTAATTTCCTGGTGGAATTAGCATCATTGTGTGCTATTCCTTTGAAAACTATAGACCAGATGTGTGTGTGGAGAGTAACTGAACACAGGATAAACCTAATTGTGTTTTATGAAGGAAGTGTGGTTAAGCAAGCTGCAGTCTGAACAGAGAGAAGAAATTCTCCAAGGCAGTGATTCTGAGTCCTTGAGACCTTAGTAGGAGATATATGAGGTCAAAATGATCTTAAAACACTAACGTGTTAATTTGCCTTTTCTTGGTCTGATTCTCTCATGACCATATAGTTGAGTTTTCCTGTGGTTGCATGACATGTGATATTGCAACAGACTGAACGCAGGAGACAGGAAAATCTGTTTTCTATCAAAGCCGGCCATTAAAGAGATTTTCAAAAATAGAAAACAGTGCAACTCTCCTCAAGAAATTGTTGTTTGGGGAAGAACATTTTTTTTATGAAAGAATATGATATCTATATTAACACGGCATGGATTTATTTTTAAGTGGAAGAAATATTTTCAACAAGTTCTCCATTTTGATGTCTAACATGGTAAATGGTGGGTATGATCAGTGCAGTTAGCTGTTGATCTCCAAAGAAAGAAAAAGGCCCCAATACGGCACATTCACCAATTTCTGTAGTGTAAATACCCTTCTCAGCTGCAAAGTCCAAGCTTTCAATGGTTTGACATTGGGCTTGAAGAAATTCCTGAATATCGAATTCTGATACAAGCTGACTCCAACACACCACTGGGTTTAACCTACATAAATGAAAAATCTTCAGGGTCCTCGGTAATTTTTAAGTGTATTGAAGTCTCCTTAGCTGAAAAAGTTTGAGAAGCCTGCTCTTAGGCAGATTTCCCAACTTTATTGCCTTCAAAAGGACTTAGAAATAGGTCATCATTAGAAAGCAGTTTCAAGGGTAAACACTTGGCTCATAGCTGCCAGCCACCACAGTGAGTTTCTGGCAGGCTCACAGCCGAAAGGATCAGTACCTTACCATAACAGCAACTGATTCGAACAGGTCCAGTGTGGCTTAGAAGTTGGCAAGCTTTGTGGGAGGCCTGTTTTTTAGCCAGCACCTGTGAACCACCCATGGCAGCCTCACTAACGTGAACATCTCGTCCCAGGGACTGTCGGCTGCATGCTGGTCTTCTGAAAACACAGAAAACCAGAGGTCAGATTCAGCAGCATCTTGGAATTCAGATAACACGGTATGTTTTTAACCAGATGCCTATAGGCTCATCTCTTCAGGAAGTGACTCACAAGCACAGTGGAGATTAGCTCTGAAAGCTGCATGTAGAGCCTGAAGACATCAGGTTGTGGCAGGACGTGTCTGCCTCTTTTGCCCATTTTAATAACCACAATATTGGACCTTTTTAGCATGCTGCTCTGTGACCCATGCAGGGAAGCGAGAACATGACGGAGGGTAGGATAGCCAATACTGTGATGCATGTAAGAATAAGACCCTTGGCGTGGGGGTGGGGGGTTGCCTGGGGGGACAGTTGGTTAAGCGTGCAACTCTTGATTTCGGCTCAGCTCATGATTTTAGGGCGACTTGGGGCTCTGCGCTCGGGGAGTCTACTGGAGATTCTCTCTGTCCTCCCTCTCTTCCTCCCTGCACTCATGAGCTCTCTCTCTCATATATATAAATAAATCTTTAAAAAAAAAAAAAAAAGACTAAGACCTTGGCATGCCTGGCTCGCTCAATCAGTAGAGACTCTTGATCTCAGGGTCTTGAGTTCAAATCCCACATTGGACCTAGCACTTACTTAGGGGGAAAAAAACAGACCTCAATTGTTCTGCATGTTTTTTGCTGTTTTGTTTCTTACCTCAAGATCTATAGTTGCCCTTGAAACTGGTCTGCATGATGTCAAATGTATCATACAGAATACTTTGTTAAGAAGCATGGAATTTGAAGATCTCATCATACAGTTTTAGCACCTCTGCCTTGTTAGAAGGCAGATCAGTTCTCATCTCTGGCTGTACATCAAGTCCTTATAGAGCTGCTAAACAATTCCAGTGTCCAGTCCCCACTCTCAACCACTAGGAGTCTTTGGGGTGGGACCTGGATGTCCATGTTGTCTTCAGGGTCTTCAGGAGATTCTAATGTGTGAGCCAGAGTTCATGCCACTGCTTTAAGAGAGTGATTCTTGGGGCGCCTGGCCGGCTTGGTTGGTAGGGCTTGTGACTCTTGATATCTGCGTCGTGAGTTCAAAGCCTACACTGGGCATAGAACTTACATTGAAAAAAAAAGTGCTTCTCAAACATAACATGCATCCAAATTATCTGGGGATCTTCTTAATGGCAGTAGGTGTAGGGTGGGTCTGCCTCTCTAACCGGTTCCCAGGCAATTTTGACATGGCTGTTGACTTGATGGTTCCTCGGGCCACACTTTGAGGACCCAGGGAAAGAGACGGCTCTGAGGCAAAATTTGGCCATGTTTAAGGTCCAGGGCCTCAAAAAATTCAATCTTCATATCCTTAAACTCATTATCAAGGCATTATTTTTTTTTAAGATTTTATTTATTTATTTGTCAGAAAGAGAGCACAAGCAGACAGAGAGGCAGGCAGAGGCAGAGAGAGAAGCAGGCTCTCCACAGAGGAAGGAGCCCGATGCGGGACTCGATCCCAGAACCCCGGGATCATGACCCGAGCCAAAGGCAGCCACTTAACCAATTGAGCCACCCAGGCGTCCCAAGGCATTATTTTTAATTGTAAAATTAAGGCAATTTTTAATGTAGCAGGGTGCTTAAT